TATTGGCTTCATTTATGTCCAAAAATCTCTTATTTCTACTTATCATTTAATTTTAAGGTAGGCAACTCTTTAAAGATGCCATTGTCATATATTCAAATGGTACAAGAATAGACTGCAGATCCAGAATACAAAAGTAAATAGAGTTAGCTAGAGCTCATATAGCCCTATTTGATAAGTAAAATCAAATTACTTTTCATGATTTAAGCGCTCTTATTTTTATGCTCCCGTTTCCTTCAAAGGCTCAGTCTTTCTACCGAATCTATCTATCCGCCGCTGGCCAGAATCACTCGATCGACATCTGCCCCAAAGCCACGCATATTTTCTGCTCTCTCTACTTCCTCCGCGACTCCAATATCAACTAAAAGTGACGTTAATTGTAACTCGGCGACGGATAGTGATTGTATCTCTCCTCATACTAAATTAACCGCCTTAGCGACAACTTCACTTCCACCAAGCATGACAACAAATGCTATGACATTTTCCTCTGCATCGACGTCATTAAATACAAATAAGGGTTTGACAATTCTGGCCTCTGGGCGAAAGAGGACTGCCGAAGGGTCATCAGCGTCTACCAAAACTTTCAAGATTGGTGTAACATTGGGTCCAACAGCTTGCACCGTCCCCGACTCATCGGCACCACCATCTTCCTCTGCCTCTCTGACGGTCACGGCTATGAGCCCTGAAAAACGGAGACGCTATGCTGCGGAGAGTCGCGAGGACTCAGCTAGTGATGAACAAGTTAATGCAATTTTACGACGCCTTCGTGAGGTGCATGGTTTAGTGCCTGACAGTGAGTTGCAACAACGGCAGAATATCCATAATCATCATGCTCACAACAACCATAATCATCATCACTACAGGCATCACAATGGCATACGGCCAGGCGAAACTCGAGTCCAGCAACTGTATCATCAGAATCGCGAACTCGATGACTGGGCAAAGAAAGCCAGGCGACAGGAGCAAGGTCAATTTCAGGCTTGTTTATTTTTTACTGTTTGGCTCTCTTAAGCAGGCTCGTCTGATTCAAAATACGAAAGTTTTTGATAGCCTAGTGTTTTTTCTGTCTTTCCATGCTTTTAAGTGCGTTGTGACCATGCTAATCACATACCAGTTTATTTTTAATAGATTTTCTTAGTTTGTCTAGGCTCAAAACTAGAACAAGGTTAAAATTAATGCTGGAGTACCTTTCATTTCGTTTGAAGTGGCGAGTGTTAGGGATACGTAGGTTGGCCTCAGCGAATGCTGAAGGGGGTTGCCTTGGAACTGTGATTGTAGATTTATGCGAATAGGTCCGCGGCACACCGCCATGCAACCAGGATGAATCCTTGTTGAGCTTTCGCTATTATGTGACAAGCATCGTCAGAGCGGAACACCATGTCTAACGATAATTCATCAAAACTCGAAGACAAAAAAGGTGGCCGGCTTCAAGCCTACCTACTTCTTTAAGTCCACTTAATTAGACATCTCATATTTTAGCTGGATATCTTGTACTTTACCTAAATCTATGCTCAAAAGTTTGTTGTGTTTCTAAGAAGAACGTGGACTGTCTCTAAATTATACAACTCTAAATATGGAGGCCCCAAAACGAACAGAGAAAAGGAACAAATATTATTACCAATTTTCCTATTTTAAAACGGACGAAATACAGTATGGGGGAGCTGACGGTAGGACTATACTTATTGAGAGATGACTCCAAATAGAAGATTCTAAACCCCGCTGGCCATGGCGGAGCGGAGAAAGAGAAGAAAAACAACGTAACCGATTTAAACAGAATGTTAGTTACTTGAATGATAAGAACATCCAGAAAATGTAAGGATTTGTTCTCTTCCATTTCCATCGTAAACCTAATGTTCCTTTCACGCTGGTTGAGTGAAAGTAGAAAACTATCTAAACTGTCCTCACCATCAGGCCAGATGGCAAAATAGTCATCCATGTATCTAACCCACAATTTGATGGTTAGTATTGCCTCTTGAAAGAAGTGTTACTCCAATCTTGCCATATAATTGTTCGCTAAGATAGGAGACAGAAGAGATCCCATCGCTAATCCTTACGTTTGTTCGTATAACTTACCATCAAAGGTGAAATATGTGGTACTCATGGATAGGTTAATAAGTCTAATAATGGAAGCTACACTCAGCCTTATTCCTTGTGCTATCTCTGGATGTTCCTCCAGAGTTTGTATCAGAGCTTGAATAGCTTCTTGAACATGAATGTTTGTGTACATAGACACAACGTTAAAACTTACTAGCCTATCCTCTTTTGAAATTGTCTGCTGATCCAGCAATTTCACAAACTTATACGAATTTGTAACTGAATCTAGACAATAATTGGCAGAATTCCTTAGTTGTATGCATAAAAACCGTGAGATTTTATGCATCACGCTTCCTTTATTATTCACAATTAATCTTGGAGGGACACCCTCTTTGTGAACATTATGGAAACCGTAAGCCGTAGGGACCCTTGCATCTCTCTGGAGTAATGGAATCATTTTCCACTTCTCCATTTCACCATTACTTACGCATACTTTAAGGGCATCCTTTAGCCTAGTTTTAAGTCTTTCTGTCGGGTCTCTCAGTAAATGCCTATACGTGTCATTGTCATTTAAATGAACTAGCTTTTTTTACATAACTTGACCTAGCCATGATTACCACTGCTCCATCTTTGTCGGCTTTCATAACTATTAGATTATTACCACACAGATATCTAGAAACCCTACTCAGAGGTTAAGCTTCCTTTGGCAGAATTATATGGTCAAAATGAGATATCACCTCCAGTTCAATAATATTCTTTACCTCTTCAGGCAATCTATTAGATAAGCTAATTAATTCAACAAGTATTTCTAGGAAATGGTTTACTTCATTTGGAAGAGCAAAATTCAGTCCTCTTTCCAATAAAAGTACTACACTATCCTCCAGAGTTGTACTAGATAAATTGATTACCTTATCCTTCCCCACTTTGTTACAATCATGGTTAGTAAGACTTACCTTAGGCGCAAAGTTTCTCGACCTTATTATAATTCATAAATTCCGGAGCTTCTTATCACGTATCCGACGAGTACTTCTGCCAGTCGCCTCCTAACATGTCAGCCATGAAATCCACATCATTCAATAGTTCATAGAGGGATTGCCTAAGCTTAGCTTTGGTTTTAATCGGTTTGTGAAGTTTGCTAATGCTTTCCTTGAGCCTAGTTTTAACTAAACCACACGATACTTGATCAAGTTCTCTATTTGAGGATGTCGGTATATTAAAACGTCTACCGAGTAAACAACACATAGAAACAACATTATGAGGAATACAAATTTTAAAAAATCTAATTATATTAACTTGCCGGGATATAGTTTTCTTGGTTGAAGTGTATCGAGAAGACAAATAATAAGAATTCGAACCGTACGTACATTGTAGATATGATGAGAAACTGGGTTTCGATTAATCTCTTGAGATAACATTGTTAGGGGACTTTCAGTTTATATGAAAGTGAATGAAGAAGAGATTTTTTGGTCGATCTCACCAGATGAGGACGGATAAATCTCGTTATACTGCAGCCGTTTGGTTTTTATGCGATATTCATGTTGACGCAGTCCACGAGACTTCCTCCCTCGTTTCGGGTGAAAACGTGCTGATCTTTCGTCTATCATATAAAAACCAAATGGCTGCAGTATAACGAGAGTTATCTGTCCCCATCTGGTGAGATCGACCAACGAATCTCTTCTTCACTCACTTTCATACGAAATTAAAGTCCCCCTAACAAGGTCCTAATTTAGCCTGCCACAGGACTCCAAATAAATACAAATAATGAGATACAATTGGCGTGGGGATGCGAAGGAGGATAAATGAGTGATTGGTCTGAAATCTAATGAGAGGAATTGCTTAGGCATGTGCATCAGCTCTTCTAAATTTTTAATATGTCGTAAATGGGGACAGGAATTAAAGGGTTATAGGTAGCCAGGCCGTGATTTTAATGTGTACCAGGGACCAAGTCATAAGCGGGGTGGAAGGTGGGCTAGATAAATGAAGTAAAGCCAGAAACCCTGCAAAAGGTGATTACGCCTCACTAAATGCACTTGTAGCGACACACTCTTAGGCTACATTGGAGGAAACGAGAGCATAGAATAGTGCAAATAGGCAAATGGGATTGTTGTTGTGGGAAAAAGATGCAACATTAGAGGCTAGGACAAAACTAGGGGTGAAGTGCGATACCACAAAGGTTGAACAGAAAGTTGATCAAGAGAATTGCCTTCATCTGTCACTATGCTAAGTTGTAACTTTGTGCAAACGATGCCGGTGAAACGTCAAATCAATAATCAGATGCTAGAAATCACTAATACTTTGGAATAGGTACGTTCCACAAAGTCTCCCTGAAGCTCCGATCAAGTTTGAAAACGCTGTCAATCCAACACTATAAAGCTAAGGGATGCTGCGACTAAACAGAAGACCACACCATCATGGACTTCATATCTGAGACCTTATTCATCCTAGTTCGCTTAAGGTAAAAGAATACTTTTTTTCGAAGATATGAAGACCAAGATCGTGTGGCCGTTTGTGTGGTCACAGTCTCCTTTCGTTGCGTAAAAGTTGTTTGACCTTGTTTTCACAACTTGGTCATATTGGTATGAAGACTTAGAGGAACGCACCTAGTCCGGAGTCTATTGTATACATGATACTTTCCAAAGTCGATCCGTGGAGGTGGTACATTCTCATACGTTTTTTTCGGCATCGTCAGTGAGTCTTGCCATTCTTA